CGAAGAGCGTTATTCCCGAGCCGAAACGCTGCCCGCGAGGAGCCCGGTTTTGTGAAGATCTTCCAGATCTACGGAGAAACACCTCTTCTGCAAGACGTAGTGCTGCCCGATCATCTTTTGATCAAGTGAGTGTGTAGTTATTTAAGTGGGTTAGATCTGAGCCCACATCGGCTGGGAAGGAGAACTAAGCATTCCTTATAAAGGGTGTGGATACCTTCCCTATCACAACGCGTTTTAAAGCCGTGAGGGCAGCAGATCCCATAAGAACTCTGCAGTTAAGCGTGCTCGGGCGGGAGTAGTACTGGGATGGGTGACCCCCTGGGAAGTCCTCATGCCGAGTGCCCCAAAGCGGACAATATTGTGATACGTGCCAGAGGGGGGGTGTTACAAATGGTATCAGAGCCAGGGCACGGGTCGATGTGTTCGACAGGGACGTCGAACCCTATAATGGGGGGTGAAAGTGGGTTAGATCTGAGCCCACATCGGCTGGGAAGGAGAACTAAGCATTCCTTATAAGGGGTGTGGATACCTTCCCTATCACAACACGTTTTAAAGCCGTGAGGGCAGCAGATCCCATAAGAACTCTACAGTTAAGCGTGCTCGGGCGGGAGTAGTACCGGGATGGGTGACCCCCTGGGAAGTCCTCATGCCGAGTGGCCCAAAGCGGACAATATTGTGATACGTGCCAGAGGGGGGGGGGGTGTTACATATAGACTAGATTTATTACTCATTGTTTTAGATGAAAGATTTGTAAATTAAAACACTAGAAATAAAGCCAAAATCGAAAGATAAAGAAAAGTATACATGAATGCATTTTGATGAAATAATAACAACCAAAGTCAACCATTTAAATTACTTGATAACATCATAACAATGTATATGAATGTATTTTGCATTTACCAAAAAACTCACGTCTTAAATCTAGAAAACATAGAAAACGATTACATATAATGAAAATAATAACATGTCAAGTTTCAAAAGACATTCAAAAATATACTCGTTCTTCTTGCACCTTCACTACATCATCTTGCTCAAATCTATATAAAAAAATCAAATAATGTTAGTATTAAAAGGAAAAGATATTAAATTTACAATCATTAAGATAATAAACAATTACCTTTGTCAATTTGTTGATTTTCTTCCCAATCTTTTTCATAATCGATTGTGTCACTTATGCTACCCCGAATCCAATCTTGTGTACAAATTAAACTTTCAACAATCTTAGGAGTCAAAGAACTCCTAAATGGATCCAAAACCCTTCCACTAGTGCTAAAAACGGATTATGATGCCACAGTTGAGACGGGAATGGCGAACACATCTCTTGCCATCAATGATAGAATTGGAAATATTTGACTATTCACTTTCCACAAATCCAGAATATTAAACATTTCCGAGTCGTCTTCAACACTTTATTGTAAATACTTTTCTAACTCCACAATTGATTCAACTATGTTCATCTTCATCTTTTCTCTTAGTTTATTTCTCAATGGGGGGTTAGGTGCCATAAAATCTAGGTTTTGGCGTTTCCCTAATATCGATGATGAAGTGGTAGACTCGGCAGTACTTGAAGTAGAACTTGGAGAATGAATTCTAATATAATCATTATAGAATCCATGATATATTTATTTTTGGCCTTCGCCCCCTTTTAACATTATTTCGTTTTGGAGGGTAAAGTTCAAGAGTTTATATCCTGCGATTTACAACTATGACAGATTAAGATTAAGAAGATAAGGGCAATGAGTAATCGCCATCCAACACTTTAATATCATCCAAATTGAGAAAAACAATAACAATTATCCAATGATAATATATGAAAATTTGCAAAACATGTATTGTATACATAGAAAATTGTATAGACAAAACAGTGGACGATTAGCAAAATGTATAGACAGAGGACGACTAGCTAAAGCCAATTACTGTATCGGAAGTGCACCTGAACACCCGATAACCCGGTGAGGCGACGACCGACTGACGACCGGCGAGGAGGCGGCGACGACTAGCTGAAGTTTATTGACCAGTGACGAACGATGATGAGTGGACTGCGAACGAGGGTTTTCTTTTGACGAAGAGAAAATATAACGATGTGACTTGGATTTGGGACTAAGACTAATTGGGACGGATAAAGGGATTTCATCATATGTTTTGGGCCCGTTACTATTAAAGAAATTTCGGGAAATCGGGTATACCTGAATCCCAACAACCTTACCCTCTACTCGATCTGAAAAAAATGTGGGTTACCCAAATACCTGAAAAGATTAACCCGATACCCGAATTACCTGATACCTGAAAAAATCGAGCGGGTAATTCGGGTAACGGGTATTTTTGACAGGGCTAGAGCGAATCCAATAAACTAATAAACCAACAATCATTTAGTTCGATGGGATGTTTTGCACCTCTTTGGTAGAACAAATTGTAAAGATTTTAGATGCTCTACGACCAATTTTGCGGTTTACTCTCAAACCAAACAAAAGTATGTTACGATTGTGTATTTATGGGGAAATGACTTATTAGGGTAATTAACTATTGTCTTGTACTCAATTGGTCTCTTTCCTTTTTTGTATCTCATTTACCATTGAACTTGTTGTATGTGTTCACAGAAACCATTGAAACCGGCTACTAAAGGTTTCCGACAATTTCTTATCTCCGACGACTCTCCGATCGTCTTTTCCGGCGAGCCTCCGACAAAAATGAGTTTTTCCGGCGGACTTTTCTCAGCTGCCATCTAGCGGCATCCACCGCCGGTGTTGCTGCTTAGCTTTATCCACCCTCCCCTCTCCCCCTCCTGTCGATTTGCTGCCAGAAAAAGGAAGAAGGGACGCAGGCAACAAGCCACCTACCACCTCCTCCTGCCATCACCGGAACCCACCTGCCACCTCCCTTTTTGCTGTCGGTAAACCACCATTACCACCTCCTGCGCTTGTTGCTGCTATAAGTCATCAAATCGAGACCCAAGGATCCGTCGAAAATCTCATTTTTGTCGGAGGCTTGCCGGAGAAGACGATTGGAGAGTCGCCGAAGATAAGAAATTACCGGAAACCTTCAATAGTCGGTTTCAATGGTTTCTGTGAACACCTACAACAAGTTCAATGGTAAATGAGATACAAAAAAAAAAGGAAAGTGACAAATTGAGTACAAGGGCAACAATTAATTACCCTAATAAGTCATTTCCCCTGTATTTACCCAACACATGACACACTATTGGACAAAGTAAGGATGTTTTGACAGATAAAAACTGGAACTTCCCTCAATAAACCCTAAACCTTATAAATCTTTTTTCATATCGTCGTTTTAATGCTCTTTTCCTTTCCTCGCTCATCACTATTGACGTATCATATGCTCGGTATTGTCCTGATCTTCTTGGTACCAAGGTTGTTCAAGGTAAAATATTATTTCTCTTATGACTCTCTAACCTAGCTACCCAAAATCACAATCCATTGTGCACCTGTCTTAGCCGGAGACCGGAGTGAACGACCCTGCCGCCATCGCCTGAGTGAGCCTCCGCCGCATATGCCTCCCTCTCTCTTCTCTCTCTCTCTCTCTCTCTCTCTCTCTCTCGGTAATCACTGATTCCCTGTTATTATTTTTTTCTTTTGAACTTTCTAACAATAAATTTTGAGTTTTGAGATATCGATTATTGTCGGAACTTTGAAATTGTTTTTGTTTGTTACAAAATCTGGTTGTAACTTTTTAATCAATTTGATAAGTTTTTTGATGCTAGAATATTAACATTCTTAATTTTCTATTAGGTCTGACTTGTGTGCTTTATATTCTTATTTTTTTATTAGTTTGCCTTAGGTTATATCAATGAACCATGATATTTGTTGAATGACCATAAGAGAATATTAATTTTTGTCTCCTTCAAAGGATACACAATATGTGTTAAATAAAAATGTAAGCGAAAACTTTTGTGTTACACGTTCCTGTATTAGACTATTTTGATTGGTTTTTACTTGTTTGTTACTATATTTTAATTAGGCCCGTGTTAGTATATTACATATAATTTTTTTGTTGGTATATTTTTATTAGTTTTCACTTGTTTCATAGTATATTACATGTATTTTTATTTATTTTATTATATTATTTATATACAGTAGACTCTTGTTGATTTTCGGGATTGGTTATAATTGATTTTGTAAATATCCAATAAGAAGTGTCTTCATATGTGGCGTGCTACAGTGACTATATGCCAATTTTTATGCACATTAACTAGTAATTACAAGATTGGAAGTTCATTATGTATCATATCTTAATCAAACTTGGTTTTAAAAAGCATAAAGCACCCTAAAACCGTTTTAGGGACTGATGCGTTAACACCATGTTTCCGAGTTTCATTTAAAGGAAAGAAAAGAAGAGGAGAGAAAAGAAAAGAATGAAAAGGAAAGGAAAGTGTATCTTGCTGTTCCCGAGTTCGAGAGAAAGGAAAGGAAAGTTATTGTTTTTTATGTTACCAAGTTGGAAGGAAAAGAAATCAAAACTAAAAATGGACAATTATACCCTTATCACATTTTTTCCATAATTTCAAATATATACCATACGATTCTTTTGAAAACAAAATTATGCCCAAACTATTTTTTTTTGGCCAACTTTTGCCTACATTACATGATTATTTATACAAAAATCATTAATGCATAATTCATTATTAATCACAATTCTAGTATGTTCTTCATTTGCATAACTTTTTCAAACAAAACCAATATGAAGGGAAACAGAAGTTAATATACCCAAACCAAAAATAACATAAATGTATGAATAATCAAACAAATTTATAAGAAACCAATTTAAAGTCAATACAAGAATAATCAAACAAATTCCAATGTATGAACTCAAACCAAAAACCAAAAAGCATGAACTCAAAGTGATAAAAAATCAAAAAACTATCATCCTAAGTAAGTCATTTACTTGCCCCCATCATTTTTTTTCAACAAACTTTTTCGTATTTTAAATGTAACTCTAAATAATGTCCCCGCATCAGATTGATTTCTCGAAAAAAACATGAGAGCTTATGATAATTCATCGGGTTCCAAATCCATTGGCTCTAACTCTTTACAAATTTCATCACCAGTATAAACCTGATGATAAGAGTTTTCGAATATTTTGTTACCCTCCCTCATAGCAGAAGCCACATCTTTAATTGCACTCATAATAACCTTTTCAAACGATTCAGGTTCAGCTTCAAGTTCATCTTCATCTTCAATTTCATGTTTCCTTTTTTTACTTTTGTACTTCTTAGAACTTGAATTTTGCACCGGTGAAAAGCATGTATGAGATAACACTTGAATATCATCAAGACCTTCATCATCATCATCTTCATTATTTTTTTGTTGTTTCTCAAGTGTTATGTCACTGCTTGCTAGTAACTTATCCACTTCTTCGATTGTTTCTACTTTTATATCCCCAGTTCTGTTCAATCGAGCATTCTTCCCTTTCGGGGTTTCAGCATGCACCCCCGAAGCCCTATCCTTTGCAAACAAAGCTATCATTTCATAGTTTGGTATTTTTTTGGACTTCAATGAAATTGCATTTGACTTTGATTGTAACACATAATCCCAAATACAATTATTGTTAAGAAAAACAACATAAATGTATAAAAACTAAGTAACATGCAATAAAAGAAACTTACATCAATTAGGTTGGCCTACACTTCCTCGTCCGCTTCAATTGGTTGTGTTTCAGAATTCCAACCGAACCCACTCAATGAAGTTCCGCGAAACATGTCATACCATTGCGAGAAACCTGATTTTAAAGTTTTCAAACGATTCTTTAAATGATTTTTCGTTAAACTCTCCCCAAACTTTTGCTTCAGTTCCTCCACCATGTTGTTGTACGCTTGTGGGATGAAGCTCCCACTAATCCTTAATCCTTTCTCATTTTGTGTCATCATAGATTGAATAAAACAATAATCCATCGAATCTGTCCCCTTTATTTGTTCTTTCTTAGTAACTTGTTCTTCCTTCATCATTTTGACCTACATAACATCATAAATAATCAAACCATGCATTGATAACATAAAAAATACATACTTAGAGGATGCACAAATAATGAGTAAATAACATCTCCAAAAGATAAATAACACAAATAAAGTCAAAACACTAACGATTCATACAACATCAAGTCAAACACAAAAGATCCATACAAAATCAAATTGAAATGCTATAATAAAAACTAGTTGCTACATTGACATATCTATCTCATTGTTTTGATTTGGAAAGTAATCAATCCACATCTGATTTGCAATTAAGTTCCTTATTAGCTCTGCCGCAACATTACTCTCACTTGTCTCTCTTATATTATGGCGCATTTCCTCTCTTGGTTCATTTAACATCTCCTGTAGGACCTCATCTTCAAGATTTTTGTCTCAATCTTCTTCTAACAAAAAGTTATGTAAAATACAACATGCCAAGAAAATGTTTGACTGTGTTTCATAAGAATAAAAAGGTTCTTGTGTACTTCTAATGATAGGAAACATTCTCTTTAGAACACCAAATGCCCGCTCTATAGCATTACGTAATGAAGCATGACGGAGATTAAACAACTCTTTTGCGTTCTCAGGGGCCCGAGCAGAATACTCCTTCAAATGATATCTGACACCACGATATGGTGCCATTAGTGTAGTTGTATGAGGCAAACCAGCATCTACCAAATAGTATCGGCCTACAAATAAGTTATAATTAGTTATGTATTAAAATAAGATTACACATAAGACTAATTTTGGTATTAAAAATTTACCATTTGGAATTACTAGTTTATCTTCTCTAGTGAGTGCATTCTTTAGTATCATTGAGTCTGATGTTGTACCCTCCCAGCCACTTAAAATGTACGTAAACTTTAAATCAAACGTACAAGCAACTAAGACATTTATCGTAGGGTATCCCTTGCGATCACGATATCTAGGGGTATCTTTGGTAGGTACTTTGACACGAACATGTGTCCCGTCAATTGCACATATACAATTTTTGAAGTAAGGATAAAATCGTTTTTTTTCCTGAATTTCTTTTTGTACAATGTCACCTTTTGGTTGTTGAATATAATGACTTTCCAGTGATATAATTGCTCGGAGAACTCTATGGAAGCACCTACTTGTAGTGGATTTAGAGGGACGGTATATCCAAGACACAAATCGATTTCTAAAATCATTGCCGACAATGTGCAAAAATCTTGCTACATGCTCTTCAACGGACATGCGTTGAGTAGCTCGAAGACCACCAACTTGTTGTAAGATAGTGCACAATTTCTTAAAAGCCTGCTCACTCATACGGATAAGTTCACGGCATTGTCCACCATTTGAAAGGTCGTGTAGCAACTGTTCACGTATACGTCGTCGCTTTAAAATAAGTTTTCTAGAAGGTAATTTGGGACGGTTTGTGTTGGCAAGGGCACGATGTGTCAAAATAGCCATCAATAAGCAAATCATATGAATTACTTGTCTTTGACTTGACTCTGAGAGATTGAGCAGGTGTTTGTAGCTCACTATCCATCGAAAAATGTTACCTATTGTATGTAAATGTTATATAAATTAATCTAATTGTCTTATTTTATTATATATCAATCTAAATTGTTTTATTTTATTATATACTATTATAATAATAAATTACCTTTATAGTTGTTGAATGATTTTGAATCAATACATATTAAAATCAATTTAATATGTTTTACTTTTATATAATGTAGGTAAACCAACATTAATAAAAACACAAATTATGCAAATTGTTCATTTACAACCAAGGGTAAAATAGACCAAGAAAAAAAAAGATACAACCAAGGTCAAAAAAGTCCAACTACTTATGCAAATTGTTGTAATTACATAAAAAGGAGGTCAAATAAGCAAAATTATACTAAACAATTTCATCCAAAACAAATCAACACTCACTATAAAAAAAAACATGAATTTATGAATTCTGCCTTTTTCTATAACATGTTGATTGTTCAAATTTATGATTGGTGTTAGTGATGCTTTGGAATAAAAGACAACATAGCTTTAGTTGTTTATCTATTCCAAACAAAACATGCAGTTTCATGAAGTTTAATATTAAGATATGTATTTTAAATCTTCAAGATAACTTTGAACAAGTTCTTCAAAGAAGGCAGGGAATGATTTCTGGAGGACTAACCATTAAAGAGTTAAATGACTTGCTTGATCGGTTAGCATCAAGTTAAAATAGGTATGCCCATGTCATCTATTTACCAAAATACCCCCATCTAATAATTATTTATCTGTTAACACAGAGCAGAGAAGATTTCCATTCTCTTTGATCTGAACGTATGTAATTGTTTCCCATATCTTGAAGCAGTAAAAAAATGAAGCAGGAAAATTGTTTGAAGCAGAAAAAAAAACAGGAACACAGTGTACAATGGAAGCAATGAAGCAGAAAAAATGGAGAAAATTGGAGTGAAGAAGATAAAACCTGATAGCAGCAGATTGCAAGAGTCGCTCGTGGTATGCAAAGGTGGGAAGAGACGTCGCTTGTGTGTTGTATGTGTGAAGAAGTCGCTATATAGGGGTTATATTGAGAATACGTTGAAATGTATCTCCTCACGGATTCTCTTCTCTCCGAATCACTCCAATTTGGGAGGAAGATTAGGAGAGAAGTTAATCCTCCCAAATCCTTTCATTTCTTTCTGAATCATTCCAACCAATTAACTCGGGAACACGATCGACACACACTTTCTCTCCGATTCCCTCCATTTCTCTCCAAATCGCTCCTTAAATTCCTCTCGGGAATAGGGTGTAAGCGAAAGCGCTCGCCTAGAGCATACGATGCGCTCCAAATTGAAAAAAAAAATATGGACATACTTATAAATACTTAAATTTATATAAACCTATTGGCCCATCCATCTTAATTAAAAACCTATTTTCTATTAATTACCCTAAGCGCTATTAAGCACAATGCGCTAAAAATCCGAAAAGGCGACAGCTTAAGGGAATCGCTGCTTTAGGTCAAGTTTGCTATCATATACTTTGTAACTTATCTGAATTCAAGTTACTGTAGCGTGTAGTAGTTGAGAAGTCTAGGGTTTTTAGAGGAGAGTAGGAAGTTTGCATGAAATCTTGAAGGAAAGGTGTTTTATTCACAGTGGCGTGATAAATTTATTCAATTTGCTTCACTCTGTTTTATTGAACAGCGTTTTCTTGGATTTTAATTTCTTTCAGTTAAGAAAACGCCGCATGGTTCCCTTTTCTCATAAACCCCTAAAGCTGAAAGCTTAAATAAAACCCTAGTTTCTCCAATTCTTTCTTCACCTCCCTCCATTCCACTTTCTTCTAGCGTCACAAACAACCGGGAAAAGATTAAGAGCTAAATGGGGATATTTGAACCTTTTCGTGCAATCGGATACATTACAAGCAGCGTTCCTTTCTCTGTTCAAAGATTGGGCACAGAGACCTTTGTCACAGTCAGTGTTGGCAAATCCTGGCAGATTTACAATGTAAGAAAGCTTTTTTTCTCCATTCTGCTGGTTTTTGTTGTATCGACTCTATATTTTTTTGTGGGTTTTGTTTAATCTAAATAAACATAACATGTGCGCTTCTTTGCTTGACAGTGTGCTAAGCTCAGTCTGGTTCTTGTTGGTAAGTTTACTTATACATTTAAAAATTTTAATATATGTTATGCTAATAACTCTCTGCGGTTGGATCCCTGAGTCTAATATTTGGATTTTCTTTAAAGGTCCTCAACTTGCAAAAAAGATTCGGGCTCTTGCTTCATATCGTGACTATACATTTGCTGCATATGGAAATGATATTGGGGTATTCAAGCGTGCTCATCAGGTTCTCAATTCATATCCTTCTTACTTCTTAAAATTGTTAAAAAGATCTTGTTTTATTCATGCAAAGTATAGTTTTGAAAAATGTACAATTATGCAAATTAAGCTGAAAGGTATTGTGCGTGTAAACAGGTGGCTACATGGAGTAGACACAATGCTAAAGTCAACATGTTGCTTCTATTTGGAGAACATGTTCTTAGTGTTGATGTAGAAGGCAATGTTTTCATATGGGCCTTCAAAGGAACGGATGAGAATCCCTCTCCAGTTGGACATATTTTGCTAGATAATGAATTCACTCCAAGTTGTATTATGCATCCAGACACTTACTTAAACAAGGTAACATTTGTTGCTGCTTTATCACATATTTTTCACTACTAGTAACTTACTGAAAGCATGTAAACAGGTGATTTTTGGAAGTCAAGATGGTTCACTTCAACTTTGGAACATCAGCACAAAGAAAAAACTTTATGAGTTCAAAGGGTGGAATTCATCTATATCCTGTTGTGTTTCTTCTCCAGCTTTAGATGTGATTGCTGTTGGGTGTGCTGATGGAAAGATTCATGTTCACAATATTCGTTATGATGAAGAAGTGGTTGCTTTTAGTCAAACTACTCGAGGTGCTGTGACTGCATTGTCATTCAGAACTGGTAAGGGGATTTTTTTTTCTCTCACATAAAGTCCTGTATTGGTAAAGTGTCTGAATGGATAATGATCTAGGTCTGGATGAAGTGCTGTGTACATAAGGATTGTATTATTTCTAGACTGAATAAACCGTTTGAACGGGACTAAATGACCATTTTACCCTTACATTTAAAAAAAGGTTTCAATGTTCATCAATCTTAACATGAGAGGAGAAGGGAAAATAGGTAAAGGGTTAGTGTCTGAATACGTTAAGTCATTCAGTCAAGATTAAGTGAAAAAGAAACATGTATAGCTGTCCTGATCTCATTGGCTGATGATTGTTGAAGAATAAATCATTATATTTCTCAATCTTTACTCTATTTTGTAGATGGTCAACCTCTTTTAGCATCTGGAGGCTCATCTGGTGTCATAAGCATTTGGAATCTTGAAAAGAGGCGGCTACAATCTGTTATCAGAGATGCTCATGATAGCTCTGTGATTTCATTGCATTTTTTTGCTAATGAACCGGTGTTAATGAGTACATCTGCAGACAACTCTGTAAAGGTAAAAACATGAAAC